GAAGATCTGGGATAAAGAAAAGGTGCCGACAGACTGGAAAGAAGAATACCTCATCAAGATACCAAAGGAAGGAGATCTGAGCAAGTATGAGAACTACAGAGGCATCACACTACTATCGGTTCCAAGAAAATTTTTCAAGTGTTGTTGGACCGAATAAAAGACTCAGTAGACGCCCAACTTCGAGATTTAAAGGCTGGGTTTTGTAAGGATCGGTCGTATACAGGCTACATCGCGACACTGTGGATAATCGTCGAACAACCAATTGAATGGAGCTCGTGACTATACATTAACGTCCTCAACTATGAGAAAGCATTTGATAGCGTGGATAGGAGAACCTTGTGGAACCTTTTTCTCTGCTATAGTATACCTGGGAAGATTTTCACCATTATACGAGATCCTTACGATACACTACTCTGCGAAGTGGTGCACAGAGGTCACTTCACAGACCCGTTCCAAATGAGGATCGGAGCCAGATAAGGTTGCTTACTATCATCCGTTCTCTTTATCCCGGTGGTTGACTGGATTATGAAGACCTCGACATTGGAGGGGAAGCACGGAATACAATGGATAGCTTGCATGCAGCCACACACCAACAAATGCAGGTCAAGACAACCAGTGTAGCGAAATCCTCTGGAGCAATGGGTCTCGACATGCAGAAGAGAAAGAGCAAGATCCTCAAACACAGCACGGAGAACACCAACCCCATCACACTTGATGAAGAAACTCTGGAACTGGTGGAAGCTTTTAAGTACTTGGGTATCACTATTGATAAACAAGAGGATCTGATGCAGATATGAAGGCATGGATTTGTAAAACAAGGGTAGAATTCCCACAATCGAAGAACATAAGGAACTCAAAGCAACTCAGCCAACATCAAAGTCAGAATATTTAATACGAACATCAAAACAGTTCCATTATGTGGAGTTGAAACTTGGAGAACTACTACGACCATCAGAAAAGTATGGGTACTTCTAAACAATTTACTACGCAAGATACTCGGTGACCGTTGGTCGGACACTATCAAAAACAGCCTACTGTGGGAGAGAACAAACTAGCTTCCATCTGAAGAGAAAATTAGGAAAAGACGCTGGAGGTGGATAGGACATACATTGAGGAAATCATCACACTGCATCACGAAGCAAGCACTAACTTGGAATCCTGAAGGCAAACCGAAAAGGGGAAAATCAAAAAATACACTGCGTCGGGAATTGGAAGCAGACATCGAAAGGATGAATAGCAACTGAAAAGGATTGCTCAGGACAGAGGTAGATAGAGAATGCTGGTAGGTGGCCTATGCTCCTCCGTGAGGGGTAACAGGCGTAAGTAACTAAGCAACAACCGTTTACAGAAACCTGTACGCGGTAAGTCATACTAACTAACTGAATAATGAGGTTTCGTAGAGTAATTAACGGAATTATAAACCTCTGTTAACTGAGTTGAATGATTAATGTACTACGTATACATAACTATTGTGTGCTCAAACATGTCCCCACAGAACTAAAACGGAAGACGCCATACGGTTGTAAAACAAGGAATGAAACCCATGAAGTCTAATTGTTGGTTTGAGCCATTTACAGAACTATATGTTCACTAGATAGGGAGTTAATGTCCAGCTAAAATTCACGAGAAACAAGTGAAACGACAACCCACCAATAAAGATAAGTTGGTTTTCCGTTTTGTAATACGAGTTATTAGATTTAATCGTTTAAAGATTCTCCTCATATCAAACGACTAATATTTGAACGAGGAATACTTTTTTCGATAAGTTCTCTTCAGGTTCTACAATTATATATCCAAATAAATAATCAGAAAAGTGGCCAGGTTAAGGGCAAAGTAGACTTTGCCTTTAGAGAATTTATCGAAAAGAATATTCTTCATTCGAATATTGTTATTAGATTTAAACATATTTACGTTGTAATTTCCTTCCGGTTCAATACTACCAATGGTTCTACTATGAACCATAATGATGTCTTTCCCTCTTCATCTCTTAATATTATGTTATAACATGAGACAACTTGGACTAATGCACTAATGTGTAGCGACAAACGTTTTTGTCTTTCAGCTAGAACATGACAAGTCCATACAGTTTATTTTACTACCATACTAATAGTCTAACTATGAGATAAAACTCGTTCAGTGAATATCAAACAGTACTCCGAAAACATCATATTCCTTGAAGCTTTATATAACAGATGTAAACAAAAGTACTTTTGATCTGTACAGCTTTTTAGTTAATCAACATCAAAATATTTCAGCGTCACAGCGATTGATGAATGCTGACTTCTTGAAACTATAAGTTTCACTTGGAAAAAGACCACCAGAATAGATATGATTGTCAGAGTAATTGGTACAGGAAGTGTTAACACATCTAACTTCTAATTGTTATGCTAAACAATAATGTGAAAGAGTTTAAATCACGTTTGCGTCTGAAAAACATGTAAAAAAATCTTGGTTATACGCCTCTTTTTCACTTTTCGTCTAACTGAGAAATCTCATAAGAAAACGCTAAAATGGTTTAGCTTCATATGACATGAATAAAGAAATATGTCTCGAAATAAAATTATAAGATAAACTCAAATAATGTTATTAAGAAAGGACAACCAACCCAAACAACTGTCAGTCAGTCAGTCAGTAACAACGTAGAACTTCGTACGTACGTACATCAGTTCGAGTTGCCACACCACATTAGCACAGAGATAGAACTGTCGATTCAAATCCCGTAGTGCTAGATGTAGTAAAATTATAAGCTGTAATCAGAAAAATTAGGGTTTGCAGATGTTATTCAAAGAGTATAATCCAGCGAAATAAATTTGGAAAGTGAAAAAAAGAAAGGGACATGAAGAATTCAGATTAGAATTTGGGAGAACACAATGAGTGGATGCACCTGCGCCATTGCAAACGATTTTGAGCCATGTCATTCAGGGTCTCCAACCATCGGTTGCTATCATCTCGCGGTCTCCAACCAGGTAGTCTACACCTACCAACATGACTCAGTCCACTTGTCAGTGATTTCATGGACTTTTGCCATGTTTTGGTCTGGCCGCCCCTACCTTTCTTCCAACCTACTTCCTATACAACAAAACATCGCACATCGAGGCAGTCGGTCGTCGGCCTTCGGAACACATGTCCCAGCCATCTCAACTGATGAAGTTTCACTACGTCATCAACTGATTTGCCATCCTAGTACCTAGTACCCGTTTCCTAACAACTGCGTTACTTACTCGATGGTCCAAGGATATACGAGCAATATTTCGAAGACACCTATGATCAAATACTAGTAACCTACGGATATCCTCTACTCTTACCGGCCATGTTTTACTGCCATAAAGGAGGACGGAACGAACTGCTGTGCAGTAAACACGTCCTTTGGTTGATAGACGGATATCTCGCTCACGCCATAAATGACGCAAGTTGGAAAAAGCTAGTCGAACAACTGTTGTCACTTACTTATGGAACACAGATTTATGATCGTCCAGCTTGGAGGTAAAATATTTCAGTAGAGTTATACACCACCTGAGCAAATCCTTTAGAAATAATGTGAATAAAAATGTACCAAATAAATAAAGTTATTCTGAGAGTTAACTTGTTTTAGTCTAATGAACGGAGTATATATGATCAACACACTTTTAACCAAGCCTTAGACTTTTTGCTACAAAATGGAGCAAAATAGTTACTAGCTTATATTTCGAGTCATAATTTACATCTCACGACAGTAACCATTTTGAGAAGACTATTCACAGAATTGTTATAAAATAACAAATGCGACTGTAATGACTATCCTATACTTAACGGCGTTAGTGAAGCTGTTTAGACGAGTGTAAAACGCACCTAAAGCACGGAAACTACTATATCAAGGAAAAGAAACCGATAGAATCATTGTCTTTCTTATCTCGAAGGGGTTGTTAAACATGGACATAGTGTTGCCATCAAATGTGGATACTTTTTCAAAGATAACGACGATTCCACATAAAGTTAAAAAAGCCATGAAGGCTAGGTCTCATGAGCTTTAAGAATAACTTTCGCACAATAGCGATATATATCTAAATTTCCGTGAAAACGCTAAAACTAAGAAAACCCTAGAACTTATTAATATTAATACCTGACAAAACGTTATTACGACAACGGACTCCTCATTCTATAGAAGTACCTTGGACTTCAGTGGTACAAAGTGCTTGCTGTGCAAGATGAAATTACGATACGATAATGACATAACATCGACTCATCATAATAATGTTGTTCCAGTATTCATCATTAAAATACTGAGTGTAAAAACGGATAGGTTACACAATATTTAGGGCACGCACCAAAATATTGGCAACATATACCTGATTTTTAAGTATCAAGTATATAACTCTCCACAAGCTTAGTACCTTGAGTTTGGTAAAACTGCATGGTTTATAGTTTAGCGTACACTAATAAACTGTACTTTAGGATTCTCTTTGGTTTCGCTTATGGGTGATGTAGTTACACCTAGTTTAAGTGTGTCGAGTACGAGACTTCACTAAGAATGGAGTAGTACTCAATATTATACCTATGTCACCATCTCTTTGATGTACTTCAGGACTCATCAGAAAATGACAGACAGTCACAATCCGTATTACAATTTATGCTAGTAACTTTTCATCACACTAAATGATAAAGCTTAATAGTAAACAACAAAATTGCAACCAATTGTTTACAATCGACAATAACAAATGGCAAAGTAGCTTTCTGTTGTGTAGAAAGTTTGGTGGAATTGTGTAAGATTAGAATTCATTGGTAAAGCACAAAAGAAACTGACCCTATTTCCATCAAACTTTTATTTTACTCCTACATCAGTTCTTGACAGATTCTGATAGATATTCTGTTGTATTTCCTAGATGCTGTCAGCATAAGAACTATGCAGAAATGAATTGATTTTCTAACTAGAATAAATAATTATATAAGTAGCACTATCAATTAATTGATTATACCCGGAAATATAGTACGAATTATATGCAATGTAAAGACATAGTACTGACCTGATTGTAAACTAAAGGTACATTTACCCAGTCGTACATGCACAGTTTATACAACTTTTCCCAAAACTCTACCACCTGATTGACTAATGCATCCACGTGTCTTTCTTCGCGTATCATATTTTCTTCGTGAGCTTTCGTAATCAGAGAAATGGCCCATACCAATGGAACGAAAAAGTTGCTTGTTGACTCTTCCAAGTTGGAATAAATTTCTAGTTCTTGTTCAGTCATTAAGCCACATATGACCAAACTATCAAGAGTCGGGAATCGTTGTTTCATGCCAACAGATATTGAGCAAAAGCATAAAGCAGAAGCTAAGTTGACGTAACGGCTAATCGTCCTTCTGAAAATCAACGCTCTTTCTTCGCTGTTTTCTGTTTTTTTGTGATCATTGAGATTAGGATTTTCACCTAAATAGGCCGATAAAAGTACGCATATCGCATCAGGAGTTGGTAAACAAAGGAACTGCTGCAACCATCGACTAACTACCAAGTTCACATAAAATGCCAAAACGAAGGATAATGGGACAGCATTTGTTACACGTCCAGCGATGTAGCATATTTGGACAAAAAGAAGCCTGGCATTCCGATATTCCGGTTCATCTGGTATAGAGTGATAAGCGATCGCTACAACGGCGTAAAAGAAGCAGTAAACTAGTAAACCGGGCCATACTAATTTATAAAGACTTCCACGCCATCGAAAAAGCAGACGGAAAAATGACCCATACTTGACGGTTGCTATGAGACTGCCGTAGCTGACAGTCATTGCTTGCGTTAAGGCATGTCACTAACACGCAATACAATGTGGCCTTAATTTGACCTTGACGTTGAAATCAAATCGAGTGCGGAATTTTGATTGGACGGTTTCTTAAAGTAAACAAGTAGGAGTTGCTTTCTACTCTGATTGGCTCATAAAGGAAGATGCATACATTTCCGCATTCTTAGGTTGTTAGTGTCTTAAGGGAAACACTTGCAAATGAAATGGTTTAATTTTCTTCTTGGATTACTTTTGATATATTTTAATATCTTTGATTGTCTTTCAGTGAATAATTTAAGCTGCTATGAGTGTGAGATAGTAGACAGAGAACGTAAAATGTCTCTTTGGCCCTGTGATGAATCAAGTGGACCGTGGCAGAAGCTTGATGGCTGCAAGGCTTGCATCAAAATAGAGGAAGTCCAAAGAATCGACTTTCGAAAACCTAGATGGGGACAACAATACCATGAAATAAAAACCGTTTCCAGATTATGTCTCAGAAAGTTCGAACCATCATTTTCAGACACATGCTTTCAGACGTACGGAAGTTCGTCAACACAAAAGCGTTGTTACTGTTCCACGGATTACTGTAATTATGATCCAAAAACTTTATCAGTAAGCTACAAATCATTGTTTGCCGTATGTAGTCTTTCTCTTTTAATTTTGTATGTTCGTTGATCATATTTTGTTACATACACCGACCCATTTTTCTACCAGTGTGGTGTAGAGTGTATAAGCTGGTTTTCTAATAAATTGTATTAGATATGTATAAATGCCCGTTATACCATCTCAAATCACAAAGCAAGTGTACAAATATTCTCATACAACATATTGTATACATTTCTCCCTAACGATTATAACACTATACATTGGATATATTGTAGTTTTGGCATTTTTACTTATCCTATAATTGTATTTCCTTTTGGAGTAAACACGTTTTTCAAACTATTTTAACCGTCGGTATCACAATTTCATAGTAATTTTTGTCAAACTATCTGAAAATATAACTTCAGCCATCTGTATTGTCTACGAAATTTGGGTTTTTCTAACGGATTAAAAATGTTAATTTCTAGTGAAGTCAAATAATAGACTCATTGTTATCGAAATGTAAGCTAGTTTGTTTTTTGAAGGAAGAATGCTTATTGATGGCTTAATTAATGATGGTTGTACAGATTATCACTTACAGTTACTGATTATATCGGTTCTCATTTATGACAAGTTAAGCTAAATAAAACATAGGTTGGCAAGCAAAAACTGTCTCTGAAAAAAACCACATCTATTTGTTCACATTGAATAAATTCAACTAAAACTAATATCAAATTTGTTTAGAAATATTTTCTTTTAATCATAGATAGCGTCACTTGAAGCGTTTACCACTTGATGAATAAGCTTTCTTATCTAGACCATTAAAATTCGTCAAAATAAAAAGTTTTAAACAATTAACTATTCGGATTAAACTTAGTCACAAAATTATCTCATATTTAGTTATTACCAAGTGCATAAATCCGTTTTTTAGGCAACTTGTACAAATTTCATACCTGAAGTTGTACCAGAAAATTCCAACCTGTGGCATTAGCTAGGAGGAGAATAAAGCTGAATTTAGATCTAAACCAGCTAAACATATCGTGCTCACTGTGAGTCTTTGGGGTCCTAGGTTCCTTCAAGAGATAATACTGAACTTCTTCAGGAAAGTTTTGTAAACTATGGTTTTGACGAAGCATGTCTTGTTCTATATTGATTTTCTAATAGACAAAAAAGCAGTGTTTACACCTAGTATTAAAGTGGTTCCCTCAATTTCGAAACTCATAACTTTTATAGGACCACATCTCACTCAAAGTTATTGTATTTCATTAGATGGTCAAATTAGTATCCTAAAAATCCCAGAGAAGTATTTCACTAGTTTACCGAGATATTATAGCTCATTTCTTGATGAATGACTAGCCGTTGGTAAACTTTGTTTAAAATCGCTGATTTGCAGCAGTGAATTGGTCTCTCCAGTGTTAACATACTGGCTTATTATACACATGCTATTGTGTACCTTGTTGTTGTTTTAGAAATTCTGCTCGCTACTATGTCTCTTTATTCATTAGCAATTTGTTGTCCATATCTAACATCTCAATTTAATATTCTACATTACATACTATCTTTATCAAACGTTTACTCTATACTTATGTACTGATTCACGTCATAATTGGATTTTCCTGATGTATTATCTTTACATTCGTTCGTTTTCTTCTTGAATTGCCTTAAATAAGCACTTATCTTATTAGCCTCTGATTTGTAATCTTTGGTAACTGGTGATTTTCATTTGTGATAATTGCTCTGAGAGTTTGTTAATCTAAAAAGATGTTATTCGTGATTTGTGGGATGAGAATAAGGCCTGATAGTCAGATCTTGATTTTCTGGAAGATAAGTGGCCTACAAAATCCATGTCTTGCAATCGATTGTAGTCTGAACTATCGTTCTCCATATTTATTTCCACATTGTTATTCTGAATATGAGTGTGGTTTCTTACCATAAAGAGTAGACTATTCCGTTGGCCGGTTATGATATCAGTTTACTTGAATGTTAGTATCAATAATTCGGTCCGGAGAGCAGCCGTTGGTCACTATGCAACAACCACAAAAGATCCTCCAAATTAGTCCAAAACGTTCGTTGTAACTTTATATAAACTATCTATCAATAGATCTCAATAATATAGTGCTTTTCGTGTTTTTTTTCGGACGAAATCCGAGTTATGTAAAAGTTTTTAGTTTAATGTTCGACAATATTCTATTCACCACGTGACAAATTAATATACAGAGTACTAATCAGTATTGAAATGTACATTATTCAGGTTTTAAGTAGCTTTTCGTGGGTCGATAATAATTGATAGGCTCATATTAGGAACTAAAAAATGTAATCACTTGAGAACTCTTCAGTACACAAAAACATTTAGATGTCATGTTACTGTTAAGCTGAGTATTTTAAGTCTTGAGGTCATTTAGCTTCAATCGATTTGTGAAAACTATTTTTGTCCTAACGAAACTTATAAACTTATTCAAACCATTTATCCTCCAACTGTAAATGTTATACTAAATTTTCCCGTCTTAGATTTGTTTCATCCAGACACCTGCATGATATAAGTACTAGAGATACATATTATCAAAATCTTACGACCTATTATGAAGTGGAATACTGCTGAGCCTAAACGACACTATCACACTGGCTGATATGATTTCCTTCTTGTGTTATACTTTGGAGAAACAACAAACAATTGTTTCGGAAATTCATGTTGATTTACACAACACTGAAAACAAAACATGATAGAAGATAAACTTGAGTGACAAATGACGATTGCTAAGAAACCTTTTTTAGAATAATCACAAATCAAATGTATGCAGAAGAGAAGTTTGTTGTGATTTTACATATTTTAAGCTCAGAAATATTTGCTGTAACTAATTATTTGGTATTGGATAAGACGGCTCTTATTATCCCCGAAGAATGAACTTCACTAATCATTTGTCACTGTTGCTTCAAGATTTCACGAAATCAGTTAATAGTTCTTAATTCTGAGAAACTTCTTTCGAGGATGAAGCAGTTGTTTGATTCTTTTTGGTTTTTCTGCTGAAGTTAGTCTACGGTCTAAACTGTCCCTGAACTGAACAGTTTCTGCGAAATTTCCACCCTAATAATAATCATATTGTCATCGATTGAATTCGCTAGGAGGATTCTAGGAGTTCTAGTAACTGTGACCGGTGGAGTTCATCCAGGTTGGCAACAAGTTTAAAGCTATTTTCATCCGAGTAATAAACTGAAAGTATATGTAATTCTGTAGATAAATACATTCAGATTTTTTACAAGAACAAAGTGTCCAGAGATCTTTTATGAATATCAACAGAATCTACTACTTTATGTGACTCAGGTTAAAACATGTTACTCTGACCTTTGCCACAAGAAAACTGATCTCACCCGTAACATTTTATATGATTGCTAAAATAATGAGATGCAAAGTAGTAGATAATCCGTCGATATTTATGGGCATATATCATACTCTTATGTACGAAACACTTGTTCACCAAGTTCGGTACAAATAAGCGACAGAACATCATGACTACACTACTGAATTTACACTGCTTTTATGCTCTTCTCATAGAACTTTGTTCAAACTTTACTTCTGTTTGAAACGTTTTAGTGAATATCTGACCTAAACATAGAACTAAAGAAGCCATGACGAAGAATGGAAGCTACTTTTGCGGACATTATTTCATTTAATTCAAAGTTTGTAAAATACTAGCTTTTATTTTTGTCTTTAGTTTGTTCTATAAACCATAAGCTTTTATTTGATGTATGGTATTTTTATTTCTAAGTTATTTTAGTGTAAACGTAACCTTTCGTACTCCATTTTCCTATCATAATGCTTAGTTTTGACACAGTTGTACTTTTCTAATTGTTTGTACGCTACGGTCGTGTTAGTCACCCGTTTATTCATAACCTTTTTTACATTAATCTGAATCAGAAGTAAATCGAGTAGCGTTCCGGTCGATTCGTCCTCTCCGCCCTTCTTACTTGTCAACCAATCAAGCGTTAAAATAGTTCTTTCTGCCCCCAAGACCGTTTGAGTTGCAATTCGGACTCACGCATTGCTAGCTTCAAGGTCAAACCAGTTAGCTGATCATATCAACGCCTTGATCTAGATCAAGACAAGTTCTCTCTTGTATGCTATTGGGTAGACAGGTCAAGGAAGTAACAATATCTTCAGTGCACTGCTCCTTATTAGACATTAACATATAATCTCGCCAGCAGCACGTAAGAATCACTTTTAATATCGTTGTTGAATATTGACTTTTAGTATTTATATAGTTGTGCAGGTATCTTGGTGCGATTAAAGACGCCAAATTTGACATAACTTGAACTTAGTATATATATATATACCTCATCTGTGTAATGCAAGAACATTTAAAACGATAAGCAAACTATATGACATTCTGTAAAAATTATTGATATAGATGGTCAAAAACTCGTAAATATAGCGTAAAAAATAAAAATCCATATACTTGTGACTAATTGCAGA